GCATATTGCGATATATATCATTATTGTGATATAAAATAGTCCATATCATGATATATGATTTTTTCCATATCACCCAACACTAGTTTGGGGTATAACATTGTTGAACCGTTGGGTTTCTGTAGGAATGATCAGAGGGAACTCAAGTCTGACAAAAGATTCCTGTGCAGCCTGCTCTCAAAACAATAAATGTTGTTTAGGATTTGGCCTCCCCCCCCCTTATCGAACCTCCCCTGGATGTTCGACTCAATTCAGTTTATTTCTATAGCGCCTATTCACAGCACGTCATCTCAAGGCACTTTACGGTTCACAATGTTGATGTGGACGTTATGTCAGAAGGGCCCAGAACTGCTCCTGCTCCTAACAGAGCACTTCGCTCTCAATCTGCAGGTATTAGTGGTTCCTAGAACTTCTAAAAGTAGAATGGGAGGCAGATCTTTTAGTTATCAGGCTCCTCTCCTGTGCAACCAACCAGTTTTAGTCCGTGAGGCAGACACCCTGTAAAGTGACCTGAAATGACATGATGTGAATTGGCGCTATAGAAATAAACTGCATAGAATTGAATATCTAGATAAACATGCAGATGGTCCAAAGGAAAATGGAAGGATTCCTCCAGCGTTGGGTTTCACACACTCACTGCTCCTCGACAGAAATCCAGTCCAGGGTTGTCCAGCAGGGTGCGCTCACTCTCCCCTCTCTCCCCTACCAGGGTGACGTAGATGTAGTTGTTGGTGCCTGAATACTCTGATGTCCCTGTGGCGACTGTGATAGAGTAGACCTCCATCTGAGGACGGAAAGACAGAAGATAAACCAGAGAAAGGTTCAATAAAACGTGTCATTCTGTGGCTCTATTGATGGCAGGCGCATTCACACGTCATTTAGGACGTTAATATAGTTCAACCTGACTCCTGATTCTGCTCTATTTACAGATTCTTAATGCATTTAGTTAAAACAAGATTTGTTCCACTTACAGGAGGCTGCAGTAATGTTTGGTAATCTGACACCCGAGGAATGGGAATGATAAACAGAAGTCAGAGGCTGCAGAAGACAGATGCTCCTGTTAATACTAACAGCTTTAACCTCGCTGTGGGAATACGCATCCCGAGGAACTCCTCTGGCGACGATCCTCGTCGTATTTCTCTTTTTATTTCTCCTCAGAGGCGCAGAAATATTACAGATTTATGGAGCAAAGGCAGACGGCACAACTTTCACAAGTTTCAACATCAGATTTATGGTGAAAGCGAGTCATGTCGTCACCACACCCTTCCTCTGCCTTCTAGAGACC